GCTTCCTTCCTTCCTCCCAAAGGAACAGTTCCTATTTGAGGAGAACCAGCTTGGGCTCCAGGTACCAGACCAGCACCCAGGCTCATGCAGGAGCTGAGCCAGGCCCGAGGCACCAGCTTCACTGAGCTGGTAGATTCCTGCTTCAGCCACACAGTACATCAGATGAAGCTCTCTTGTTCAAAAGAAGAAGGAAGAGGAGTCAACATAGTGGAAAGAGGACTCCCCGTCCAATCAGTAGTCACTGACCAGAGAGTCATCACTGTTGGTTACACATGCACTGAAGCGAAGTACAGATTATTAACCAGAAAATGCCAGCTGTCGGGGACCTAGGGGAGAACACGCCGTCTCTCTCAGGAACCTGGTTTCCATGAGGCATCTGCTCGGCTCGCTTACATAAGCATTCAGTTTTTCCCGTGGTGTGAGAATCAGAAGCAATTTCTCATCTTGTCCAGTTGTTTGATCAGAAGGACAATGTGGTGTGGTTGCCCTTCGTAAAAATCGTTTGCTGTGGCCCACAGCTGGCTGCAGTAGAGTGGCGGTGCTGTTTGCACCGAGGAAATAGGTGGTTGGACACCCCCTCCCCAGCGCACTCTCAGATTGGGGGGAGCGGCCACGCCCACCTCTCTACGCCGGATGTCGGGCTGACAGCCCTGGGAGCTTCCAGGCTCCTTCCTGAGTCTCCGGCGTTGGTTTCTGAGTGGCCGACTCCAGGTACCCTGGTTCCCTGACAGCAGCCCTCCCCGCGTCCCCCCGTGGTCTCCCCACCTTCCCTGGTGTGAGAGGCTGTGCTCTGGGCTTACCTTGGCGTCCACAGGAGGGACTGGGCGCACACTTCCCTATTGCTGAGACTGAAGTTGGGGTGCAGCTCGGTTAGGCTGTGGTTGGAGACGAGCCAGGCCAGTGGGATCTCCCCTGGTGGTGGGTTTCTCTCTCTGAAGAGCTGGTCTCTCAGCGGCGGGGTCTTGTCCTCAGGCCCAGAACGACCTGATCTGGAACACCAAGGATGAGCTCAAGAAAGCGTGCTCGACCAATGACCTGAAGGAGCTGCTCATCTTCAACAAGCAGCAAGTGCCCTCCGGGGAGTCGGCGGTGAGCGGCCCCTGTGTTACGGCTCCGTGTGGGGCTGTGGAGTGACTGTCCTCTCGGACGGTGGGCGGCCCTCGGTTGAACACCTGCCGGTATTATTGGCGAGTGACAGTCCATAGTTGTGTTGCATGGTCATCATCATCATCATCGTGGTCACATTTCCCAGGGGCAGGAAGGGGCGGGCTCTTCCCCAAGGCAGCCCGTGGTTTAGGATTTTGGTGAGGACTGACGGGGCCTCTGTTTGCCTCGTATATTCACACCACACTGGCCTGAGGAGCCCTCTGCTGCCTTCTGCCCGAACTGCCCGGGCTGTGAGGCTATGGAGGGAGGGGGACCCCCTCGTGAGACCAGCCTCCCCAGCAGGCCTGCCCTGCCGTCTCTGGGGAGAGGGGGCGCTGTTCTGTGCAGAAGCAGTGGGTGCTCTGGCTCTCCCTTTACCTCTAAATCCCCGAGGGAAGTGGGAGCTGCAGGAATGTGCGTGGACTTAAAAGTACAAAAATCTAAGCTCCACCTGTCAACCAGCCGGCCACGGGGTGGGTAGTTAGTGAGCCTGGGGGGCCAGCCCTCTTCTGCGTTGGTGAGTGCAGTTTGTGCAGATTCTTCATCCCACGCGGGGAACGTCACTCTGCAGCCCTTCCTTTGTTTCTGACATGCTTCTCCACTGGCAGATCTTGGACCGCGTGGCTGACGGCATCGTGTTCGGTGCCCTCCTGCCCTGCGACGCGTGCTCGGGCCAGCTGGTCTTCAAGAGTGACGCCTACTACTGCACGGGGGACATCACTGCCTGGACCAAGTGTATGGTTAGGACCCAGACGCCCAGCCGGAAGGAGTGGGTGACTCCAAAGGTAAGTGGGGGATCCAGAAAGACATGGTCCCCTCACTCCAAGCTGCCACGCCAGCAGGGCAGCATTCTTCAGACTTCGTACAGCTGATCCATCCTCATAATTAGAATATATAATTCTATTATTGGCTCCATAGTTTAAAAACTTCACGAATGTAGAACCACAGCACTTGGTGCTGGAGTGCCGGGTTGTCCACTCGGAGTAAAGTCCTCCTGCTGGCAAAGACTGGATCATTTCCGTTCCCGCTCAGCAAGTGCTTACCGGTGCCAGGCGCTGTTCTAAGCGCAGGGGACAGACGGGGAGTAAGTGGGTCATTCCTGCCTCTGTTAGGAGAGTGTTTCTTAGGAATATTTCTTTGCTTTTATGCTAAAGGGGGAACTGGCTCCTGGGTTCAGTTATCTCGTATTTTCATCTCTTTTCTAATAGAACTACATGTTGAATTCTCAGGTGTGAAATCTCAATTGAGGAACCTCATTTGGAATTGTGGGCGGGGTGGGGGGTGTTGACAGTGTCTTTGGGGGCTTGGCTGCTGGAAGGACTCCACCTGTGTCCTCAAACTCAGCTTGAGCTGGCACCCAGCTGCCTGGGGCAGAGGTGGGACTGCCACTAACTAGGATTTGGGGTTTGATCATCCAGTTATCTCTCCCTGTGCATATTTCCGGGGGGCGAGCATTGGAATGGTGCCCTATAGGAAGCACTTGGTTGTTGGGACCTGAGTGCCCCATGGGCACTGCTAACCCAGCATCTGGAACAGGACTCCATGGTTCCGCCGGCCCTCCTGCCCGGGCTCATTCATTTCCGGCCTCCTCTGCCCACGACCATAATTTACTCCCTCTCAGTCCTTTCTCTGCACGCTTTCTTGAGGGATCACTCAGCAAATTTGGCCTTGTTGCCTCCCACACCCTTAATATCTTACAGTGATTCTTCAGTTCCTATAGAAATACTAGTATTTTCAGTTTTTCTGAATATGCAGGTGTAACGGGCCCTTGTGTGGTATTTGTATTCCTTCTATCCTTGAGAAAATAATAAAGTAAATAACATGAATTATTTTGTGCTTTATGTATCAACCAGAGGCCTGGTGCATGGATTCGTGCACCTTGAAAGTAAATTAATTAGAAGGTGGCCAGCGGGGCGGGCATGGGCGAGACTGGCCGGACACACCGTGGATCCGACCTCCTGTGGTTCCTCCCTGGCCGGCTGCACTTGGGGCGGTGCCAGGACTCGAA